AGAATTCCATTGGTTTGTCATTCTTTCACCTGTGAAACTATCTCTCCATCACACTGCCCTGCAGCCCCTGAGCTGCTGCTGCTCAGGCCAGAGGTACGTTCTGCAGTCCCTACCAGCTTTAGCCTGGTACAGCACCACACCCAGAGCCCACGAACTGCTCAACACACCGATGGCACCGCTGTGCCCCGTGAAAACAGGGCTCTGTCCTCCCTGCTTGCTGGCTCTGTGTGCCCTGGGTGGCCTTCCTGCTAATAATTCAAAGTGACTCTTGACAAAGCAGCGTTTAAGCAGGACACAGAGCTCAGCAATGGGAGCTGACAGGTGGTGCATTGTTGGGTGATTACCACATGCCTCAGGTGGCAGCCAGAGGCCAAAGTGCAAGTGACTCCAACCACCCAGCCAGTGCAGTAATCCCCCTGCCATGGCTCTGCATCCTGGGGGGGACATCAGGGAAATAAATCAGCCATCTGCACTTACAGGGTATTATGGGAACAAATACTATTGTTAAACAGTTCATTCAGACAGAGTCCATAAATCAGAGAAGATGCTGAATGATGCCTTTTTTTGTTGTGCCTCTCCACAGACTCTGATTTTCTATTGACACAATTAACAAGAAACACTCTTCTCACTTCCCCACAAGAAACAAGAGGGTGTTATATGTTTCATCCTGCCCCCCGAAAAACCAAGCACAGAACACTTCTAGACCAGGACCTGCTGCCCTGAGGAAGATGACCCATGAAAAACCAGGTGTTAATCCAAGCCTTGAGCCACAGCAAGGCCCCCAGGAGGACAAGCCAAGTGCTGAGGGTGAGCCCAGCACAGACAAACAACACCCTCACCCTTGGGGTGGGAGCAGGGCTGGGGCAGAGGCAGTGCCCACATCCACCCACAGTCCCAGGCAAGACACTGAGCTGGCCTGTGCTCCTACCAGGGAGCACTCTCAGGCACTGCACAAAACAAGCCTACAAACAGCACTCTCTGTAACAACTTTTCCAGCCAAAAAAAAGCAGTAGAGGTACCTGCAGCAGAGCTTCAGGGTCCATCCAGAACAGCAGGAGCCAGGGCAGAAAACCAGCACAGCCACAAAGACATGCAGAAGAGAACACAAGCCCCCAAGCTGAGCTTAAATAGGGCTCCAGGGTGGGGTGGCAGAGGAGGAGGCCCCAGGTGTGCCTGCTCAGAGCCCTGGGGTTGGCCACAGTAATGCAGGTGTTCCCAGTTGGCAATCGAGCCCAGGTGGAAGCAATCACCTTGAGTGCCTCAGTCCTGCAGGAAACCAACGTCCCAGCCCTCTGCTCGGCCCACGCAAAAGAGAAAATAACTGTTGATGACAGTCCTAAAAGGGGTTCTAAATGGATCAGTAACTCGTGCAGTTGGTGTTGCTTCAAAAGAGAGATGAGCAATGGGTGCCTTAGCTCAGTGTCACGGCAGCTTGGCACCCATCCAAGGACAGCTATCCCCCCTCTGTGCTTCACACACCACACCAGGGTTTGGGCTCAGGGCTTTTTCCATGGTGTGAGTCATTAGGAAGTGTCTGTAAGGTGCCGGTGACCCTACTGAAGTCTTTAAACAACAGTAAAAAGAGCCTGAGGGGATGTTATTAAAAGAGTGGATGCCCCTATTTCTAGATGCAGAAGATTATGTATGGGAGTTACCACACTATTTCCACATGTGAAATCATTATTAACTGAAGAGGGTTAGGAGACCCTTCCTACAAGGGACCCTATGGTACAGGGTGCTGTATGACAGCCCACTAACACAGCCAGTCCCTCAAAAGATTCCCCTGCTGCACACACTCTTGGACACAGCTGCACAATCTCCTTGCTGTGAATGAATGTAGGACTTTAAACCTTTTTGATTCTGTTCTGTGCTGAGATTTCTTCTGTTTAGTTCCAGCCGGCTGTGCTAGGCTGGGTTTCCTGCCTCTCTAAAGGCCAGCTCAAAGCTGACACCCCTCCCTGTCAGCCTCACAGACAGCTATGGGAATGGAGCACTCGAGAGCCTGGTCCATATGGAATCATCTCAAACCCAGCCAAGCGCCCACCCTGCACACCCCACAGGAATGGAGCACGTGGTGTCATCGTGGCTGTCAGTCAGGCCAACCTGCTCATTGTGAGCAGCTGGCAGATGCTCTGGAGCTCAGTTCCTCACCCCCCAGGACGGCTGTCCTGCTGCAGGGGTGGTGTTACACTGTTGGAGCGCGGCCTCGGTGACCCCGAGCTCAGCCCAGCCCTGCCCGTGTGGGTGCCCTGCCCTCTGAGCACAGGGCTGGGCTGTGGGCACCCACGGCAGACACCTGGGGCAGCAGCAACAGTGGGATTGTCCAATGGCCCCTCAGCCCGAGCTCCTAACCAAGCTCCTCTGTGAGTGCCTTTAAGGAGCCTTCATCAGTGAAATCAGACCAACAAAGAGTGACAACGAGGGTCAAGTGTAAACCCTGACCTCTGTGTGTCTCTCATACCCACCAACACACCTTGGGCAACGAGAAATAGCAAACAAACTTCTCCAGGAGGTAGAACTGCTTTATTTGCCATTGCTAATCTTGGTTGTATTTGCAATAAGGCAAGTGCTGGTCAATACTCGTGATATCCAGTGTTCAGGAGAGAGCAAAGACTTTGTCCTTCCCATATAATCCAGGAAAACAGAAGTTCAGGGGAATGCAAAGGGTGCTTTTGATGTCCCAAGCCCTCAAATGGCCATGTTAAAATCTGCCACGTTAAAATCTGAAAAGCATTTTTGTCTTCTGGGAAGGAATGGTGTGAGAGGAACAGGGCTTTCTGTACAGAGGAGTCGCTGAAGTCCTCTGGGACTTTCCCTTCTAGTCGTGCTAATTGTCTGTACTGGATTTACGATCATTCCAGTCGCATTTTAAGTTCATCTCCCGACAGGAAAGTTAAAGAAATAGATTTGGTACAACAGATGGGCATCCAGGGATGTATGGGAAGGCAATAGGCCCTGTTAGCAGATAGGGGATAAATGGGGCTGTGTTGCTTTTCTCCACCATGAGACTTTTTGGTGGGATCATGCAGTGGCTGGACCTCTGTGAAGCACAAGGCTGTTCTTCCAGTGTGCTCCTGCAAGGGTATTCCTAGAGGTTCTTCCTGTCCCATATTCAGGACCACGTGCAACCCTGGATCTACACTTTGGCTAAGCAAACACTCACACATACAGAAAAATGAGCTCCCACCTGCATTGGGCCCCGTGGAATTTTCCAGGAAACCTGGGCAGAGTTTTTTGTTTCTAATAAAACCAAAACAGTTTTTAAATCCAGCTTCAAGCTTCATTGCAAATATTTCTCACAGCCCTCTGTAACAGGAATAATTACTGTCCTTATTTATCGGGTAGATTATACAAATCCCCTAGTAAGTAAATTGTAGGATTAAGGTTAATGTGCTAGATTAAACTGACAGATTTATTTACTTCCTCCAAGAAGGAAAGACGAAAGGATGGTGACCTATCGTGTGTATTAATTCAACATTTAGCCCTGCCTCAGCTCCAGTGATTATCTCTGCAAATGCCAAGTCTCAGTCTAGATTCCAGTGCACTACAGCATACACAGAAGTTCTGTTGTCTCCAGTATTTTATCTGTTCAGCTCCTGATTTTTCAGATGGTAATGTGCTCTACTTTTGCAGTGCCTTCCCTCTGCAGTTTCAGAGGGCTCACAGGGAACTACTTCTGCATTCACCCCACAGAAAGTGTTACTGATCCTCATGTTACAAGTGTATTCACGCTGAGAGATTAATGCCAATTTTATTCTATGACTTGTCTGGATGAAGTGGACAATTTGTGAATAATTCAGAGTCACAGGGTTCTTTAGGAGTCCTTTAGAGTGATTCTTGTTGTAAAAGCCACAATCTGGGCTATGAAAATGTCCCAGACTGTACACACTTCAGAGCAAGGTGGCCATCTGGGTTTCCTGCTATCTCCTGATACTGACAGTCGTGTTGAGATCGAGGTGCCTGAGGGCTGATGCTGCAGCTGAGGGCAGGAATGAAAAGACAAGCAGGAACCTTCCCCTGAGGGCTGTACCGTCAGTGCACGGGCCTGAAGAGGGGCTGGAGCACCTCCTGCTTTCCTGCATCTCCTTCCCCAGCAGTGAGCAGGCTGCACCCAACAGCACTGCTCGAGCACATGCATCGTTCTGAGGAGCACAGACAGCCCAGGGCTGCCCAAACAGATCATTTCCTGCAATGCAATGTAGTATATTTTATGGGACTACTGAGATGGAGACTTCTGGCAACATGTTGTGTGTTCATCCCCGCACCACTTCACTATCCAGTGAAGTGGGGACAGAGAAACAGATACCAGGTGGAGCAACAGCTTTCCTACAATCACAAACAAGGAAAGTGGCAGAAGAAGGACTCTGGTCTCCAGAAAACTGACCTCCAGTGCCTAAACTCCCAGTTTTAGTGTTGTGAGCTCCCCAATAGTGGGACGTGGTCATGCACCAGAAGAGGCAACACTGTCTGGCACAGACCTGCCTTTCCTCATCCCAGCACTAGTGCCATCCTTCCCCAGTCTGGTAACCCTCCCAGAGGAACTTGGAAAAGCTGTATAGGTGCAAATGCCACCTGTGTTTGCACAGCAGGTTGGGAGTAGGGCTGGGATTTACCTCAAACCCAGTGACATGACCGTCTGCCTGTTCTCCCCCCTTCAAATAAAACGTTGTCCCCACGTGCTGGCCTCAACAGGTTTCTATATTTATCTATCCTTATTTTAGGAGGGCTGCAGAAGAAAGGTATAGATTACAGATGTGGTGCTCCTCGACTTAGCTAAGGTTTCCAATAGGGATAGTTGTTCTGGGACAGAATCCCAGCCCAGAGTCATTTGCTGCTCGCCTGCCAAAGGGGACTTGCAAGCATTGCCAGTGCTCTGCTGGACTGAGCCCCAACAGTTCACAGCATCTGAGGGAGGGGAGGAAAATTCCATGCTGAAATAGCTGGTTTGAAGTGCTGTACCCCACAGCGACAGCAGACTGTTTGCTAATACTAATGCAGTTTTCAGAGAGAGACTTTAAGTTCAATTTTCAGAAAGTGTTTCTGCTTGGGAGAGGGCCAGGATTAAACCCCTCCATCAGTTCAAAACTTCAGTGAGTTTTCAACAGAAAATCAATTCTGGTTTCACAGCTGACTGTAGTTTTGCAAGACATGACTAGTTAGGAGGAGGAGGAGGAGATTCTAGGGACACATCCAGCTCCTCTTCTCTGTTATGTATAGAGAGAGCGTACAGGCCTGTCCCTCAGTCAGCAGTGGGATTTTGCTTGTGTCAGAAACAGAAGGACAAAAGGAATATAGGAAGTGATCCTGCAAAATGTAAAATTTCTTCAGAAATTTACTTGTAAGCACAGTTTGCTTTTTATAATGTGTGGCGTATGTTCAAAACTCCCCTCCACTTACATGCGATTTTTGCAGATAATATGACATATAGAGGTTCTCCAAAAAAAGAAAAAACAAAAGCAAAGAACCAGAATGATAGTATCTATCAGAAAACGTGATAAAAACCATTTTCAAGGGCCAGTATAAACTTCTTTCCATCAAGATACTAAAAAAGGAAATAATTCTACCCAGAGATCTGGATCCTACAGAATTATCTTAGTTTGCAGGGGTCAAATAGTCACAGCATTTTGATGTGTTTACATCTGATAACTCCCAGTAGAGATAAACATATTTCGTGCTTGAAATGTAAGTTAACACTGGACATACTAAACATATGACAAGAGATTTATTAGAAAGAACATTAAATACTATTATTAGCCCCAGCTGCAAATATCCATCAGGAAGGAATGGCTGTGTGTGAGCCAGTTGTCTTCAGAATGGTGGGCCTTTCTAGAAACCCTCTGCAGTGGATGTCTTTCCACTGATTTCAGCAGTCGTTGGGTCAGGCTCTCTTTTAGTAGAAAGGTATTTAATTTCATCCTGATAGGAAGGACTGAAAAGCCAGACACCAGAATTTCCTTTGCCTCATCTTTCATATTTAGCCTGTGCTGTTGGTGGTTAAAACTTGTTATTACTTGTTTATTTTTCACATTTAGGCTACTTCTTAATAACTACACAGCCCCCCCAGGAGAGCATTGCTGCCTTTCATCAGTACCCTCTCAGAATGGGAAGAGTGACAGCTATTTTCAGATGACACCAGGCTGACTGGGATACTCTGAGCAGTCCAGAAGCTCCCACCAAGTTAATAAATAAAGCTTCATGCCAGGTAGGGGGAAGAATTTGGGCCTGCTGTTCTTGATGAACAGGCTGAGTAATTCACAGTTTCAGCCTCTCATTCATAACTGTTACAGAGAGTGAATCTGGAAGGGAGGATGGAAAGGCTTGTCTTCCATTGCCTGCAAGCAACACAAATGGACACGTCTAATTGGCACATTATCGCTCCACAGTGCTTTCTAGGCCTGGTGTCACAGCTTAGGGCAGGTTTGGGCTCATGCTTCCTGTTCTTGTACAATGTCAAGCTCCATTAGATCAGTAATCTCGTGTAATACAGTATCAGACAATGCCACTGAATGAATACAGAATAGAAGTATTTTTAGTTGTTCTTTTCCCCAGGAACTCCACCTGGCTCTTGGCTTTCTAACAAATAATCTGTGTTGAGACATCGTAAGGTGACAAAGAGAGTAAGAACAACAATTACACAAAAATGTTCAGAAACTTCAACGACTTGAAAAAATACATACTTGGGGATTTGCAGCCCACCCAGGAAATTGTGTGTGTTGATCACCACACCACTCAAAGCATGTATATTAACTGCTGGGTGAAGTGCATAGGTGTGAGCCAAACTGTTGAAAGAGTAGCTGCAGTGCTGTTACCACAATGACATCCAGCCACAAATCCTGTTGTTGAAATGGGTTATTCAGAAACTGCTCCTATGATAATCTCTGTCTGTGAAGTTAGCTGGGCTTCGGGGAAAATAAGAACATCTGATGTTCTGTTTTACCTTCTCAGCATTAACTCACTGACATTAAATGAGAATTTATTATACTTGTGGTTTTAACATTTTAAATCTGCACATATTTCCTCTCCATTTCTGGGCATTCTGCAGGGCTGATGCTGCAGAACAGCTGTCCCCTCAGTGACACTGCCCTGACCCGAGCACAGTCAGGGGAGCCTCAGTGAGTCCCAGAGGGTCACACCCTGCTCCACAGACAAGATCCAGGTTGGAAGGGCCCTCAGTCCACCCTCCTGCTCAGTGCAGGGACAATTGTGTGGTCAGGGCAGGTTGCTCAGCTGGGTGTTCCAGGCCTCTGAGCATGGAGGCTGCTCAGCCTCTCAGTCCAGCCCCTTCCACTGCCTTTTGCTACAAAAATTGGGTTTGAAACCCAGCACGAACATTGTTTGTTCTAACTTAGGTCCTATGCCTCTCATCCCCCTCCCACACAGCACTGTGAACAGCCTCCCTCTTTTCAAAGAGAAAGGCAATTCAGCACACTTGCTGCCAAGAACTTCATATCTTCTCACAAAGCTGCACTTCAACCATCACAGAGTTTAAAATAAACAATGATTTGTGAGTAAAACGCACCTCAGAGGTCCCAAAAGGCCACCAGCAGTGAAGCCATGGCTAATGCCTGTAGGTGAGACCACGGCTCTGAATGCAAACACCCTGTTTAACCAGGAATTTACTAATGTAAATGTGGGCTGTTCCAGGCCAACTGGCCCCTGAGCCCAGGATGCTCCCAAACTTTTCATCAGCTGTTATATATTGAGCCACTGCAAGTTTTTTCCCAGTTCAGCTGGTTTGTTCACATGTGACTCTGTCCTGATCAATGTCTTCTCCACCTGTGAAGATTTAAAAACTAAGAATCAGTTGCATAATATATCACTTTTTTTTTTTAAGGCTAATGCTAATCCTACCAAACCACTTCTGTGTGCATTTATGAAAGTGAAAGCTAGTCCATAGGTAATTTTCAAAGGAAGGTTGTACAACAGCTGGTGTTTTGTCACAAGCAAGGGTAAGCACCATCATGTAGCATTTATTTCCTTATCTGAACAGTATCATTAAGCTGATGACACCCAGGTCCATTCAGAGAGTTAAATTCCTCCCTCATGTATGAACACGATGTTCCCACAGTGCTAGAAAGTGTGAAACAATGTGATGGAAGAAGTGGCTGCTGGGATAGAGAGAAGTGACTCTCCAGTCAGACTGGGGGGGTTTTCAGAGGCACAAGAGACACCTGTGTCCCACTGAGGATCCATGACCATTAGCCAGCCATCCCCCTGCAGTGCCCTGCAGGCTCTGGGAAGGGGATTCTGCATCTCTGCAAGATGAAGCTCTACAGGGAGGTGTCTAATGCAGGGCTCTGCAGGTTGAGCCCATGCTCACACACTGGCTGGCTCCTGCAGCTGGCCGGGTCACAGTCATACACCCACATCCCAAATATCTTCAGCAGGGGAGGGCTCTCCCCGGGAGGTGGCAGAGCAGGGAACAGCCTGGAGCTGAAACCTACCTGAAGGAGTAGTTGCAACTTAATGTCCAAGTGGTGAGAGAAAGCCCCAATGAGATCAGAGTTCTTGTATTGCGTTAGTTTGGTTGATAGCTAAACAATTCCACAGATGTGCTGAACCGTGAAACACATAAACATGCAAGAGGAAAGACATATTTTGTCAGGAAACTTTATGTAAATGTAGCACAAATATGAAAACATCAGTAAGGGGATAAGGCTTAATTGAAAACATGGTCAGGTTTTTGTGGACAAAACAGCCGGTTTACTGCAACACCAGACGTTTGTATTAAATGAGTAGTTTTTAATTACCCCAATGGATCTTCTTGTTTGATGGGACTGGTGAAATCTTTTCTGTATCACAACAAGAGGAAGAAGAGGGAATTCCTGGCTTTCAGTCCAAACTCGGTGTGCCCCCAGGAGCTGTGCAGCGAAGCCATGGGGTGCAGGGACCCTCCCACACCCCTGCCCAGCACAGGACCGTGGTGGGCAGCCCAGCTGCACCCATGGAGACACTGCATCCTGCAGGGACAGGCCAGCGTGTTCTGCTCGGCTCCCCTCTCACTGCTCACCCTCTGCTGCCACAGCAGGCAGGGTCACCACGAACACCCAGCCCAGTGCCCAGCCCAGGGCAGGTGTGCCATGGCCTGCAGGCTGGCCCGGGGCTGCCATCAGCCAGCACAATCTCCTGAGCACTGCCCCCTGTGCCGTCAGCCAGCACAATCTCCTGAGCGCACAGCTCTTCTCCTGCCGGTGTCCAGGGGCTCCTCCCGACCTCTCTGCAGCAGCTCGAGGAGACATGAGAGGGCTCCAGCAGCTCAGGAACAACGAGGGAACAGCAACTGACTACAAAGACATTTTCCATCTTTGGGGGAAATTTCCATTCTTTGTGGTTTTGGGTTGTTTTGGGTTTTTTTTTTTGCAAAAGATCAGTCAGGTTTGCCTTATGGCGCCTGCTTGCATGGCAGAAAGCTCAGACTGGGAAAGCTCAGTCTGTCTTCCAGGTTTTTAATCAGTCTCCTTGTGATCCCAGATGTGTCAGGACAGATGTTTTTGCAACCTTCATGAAGGACAGAATCGCATGTGTTGAGGGAGGGCTGAGACTTCTCTTCAGCTCAGTTTTTGGGGATGAACAAGACACTGGTTCTGTACTAAGATAAATGGTTTTGTTCAAAGATAGCAGTGGTTTCATCTTTTCTCAGGAAACGAAGAACTCCCTGGGGTCTGTGACCCTCAGGCTGCAGCTCTGCCTCAGAGGGACACTGCAGGATGAAGCACAGGAGGAAAGCTGATTGACTGGACACGAGACAGAAAAAGGCTCTCTCTCTGTGTTAGTGATGGTGCAGCTTTTGGGTTGGTGATGCAAAAGCCCAGCAGAGGAGCAGGACACCGAACACCTCATTAAAGCGGCCAAAATGAAGTGTCAGCTTTGTCACTGTAGATGTTCCCACAGCCTTAATGTAACAGCTAGTTGTAGACAGAATATCCAGTCATAACTACTCCAGAAAGGTGTCACCTACCCTGAATTTTATTTGTATTTATATCTGCTGTATGTATTTTTTGCTGGAGTTTCAAAAGATTTACACTTCTGTCTGCACAAAGCACACTGACTTCCCTTTGAATTGGCAAAGTACAAAAGAAAAAAAAAGGTCAGGAAAGAACGTCTCATTCTCTTCTTCAAGTTTTGTCAGGATACCATTTAAATTAACCTTTGTGAGCCTTTACATTTGTATATGTGTATATCCATTTGTTTATTTGCAAAAATATGAGACAGAAGTGTCTTTGTCCTTCTGTCAACTACAAAGGGAGTTTAGATGGTGAGATCATCTGTCAACATCTATGCCATAAATGTTTAAATATGGACAGAGGAGAGTGTCATTGATTATCTGGTTCCTTTATTCTGCAGATTGCAGGCTGGATGAATGGTGGTTTCCCAGGAGCAGCAGGAACCCAGCAATGAGCTGTCAGTCCCACCCAGAGCTGGAAAACTCTCCTCATGCTTAGCAGCAAGTGGCAGGGAAGACAGGGGTTGGTTTGGCTGGATGTGGAATCCTTCCCTTCCTATCCCAAACTGCAAATTCTTTGTGTGCTTTGAGTTCCCCAAATTTTTAACTCTGTTATATAAATGGCAGCTAACTGAGGGGGGAGAAAAAAAAGGAGGTCCAAAAGAGAGCCCTAAAGCTCCCAGAGATCAGTGTGAGGGTATCAGTGACTGCAGAGGGCTCTGGAGCAGGCCCTATGCCTTTAATTCTGGGAGAACATAAATGTGAAATGTTTTACCAAAAAAAATAGCTTCCTATGCCAATGTAAGAGAACTTCCAACGTGCCTGCTCAGGAAGTTCAGCTCTTTATGGGACCAAATGAACAACTTCTATCCCTGACTGAGATAAAATTGAACAGAAACTCCTCACGGAAGACCTTCCAACGACTTATTAAAAACATACAGGACTGATATAATATTTTTCAGCTCCAATTCATTGTTTCCCCAGACTTCCACGTTCTTTTGTAGTGCCAGTGCATTTTCCAGGACTGGGCTTTTCCTTGCTCTTTTCTTACAGTGGCATGTTTTGGATGTCTGTTTCCCTCCTGCTGCAGCACTGCATGACTGCCCTGGGAATATCAGATCTCCTAAATTCCATTTTAAACTCCACTGGAGAATGACACCAGCCTTTGTGGAGTCATATTCCTTGGAAACATCAAGAGTGATGTCCTGGACTAATCTACAGAGGAGACTGAAGCTGGATGGCAGGTTCATATCTCACTCCTATGAAGTCAGTATGCACTGGCTACAGGGGATTTCTCAGGATTAGACTTGTGAGGTCTTGGAATCTTATGGTGGCATCATCAACCTAGAGACCATGTTGTGTAAATCAGAGGATTCAGACTGCATCTATGAAGGCATCGACTTAAACCTTATTGTTCATTCTCCATTTGCCCATCTGAAACAAAGTGTCTGAGAACAAAGAACTTGGAAATTTAATCTGTAGAGACATTTTAGGTACAGAACCCCTAACTACAAAACAATCTAGTCTTCCCTTTATAAAATAAACTTTCACATGCCCTCCACCTTCTTGAACTCCATCCATATAACAGTTTTTACCACATCAGAAAATACTTTTTAAACACTGATAAAAAAAAGCAGTTTCGTCTAATACAGTTGATCTGGTCACCACAAAAAGAGCAATTTTTCTGTTAGTACTCCTACATTCCCTCCTCCACCCCCAAAACCCGCAGTGGGATCACTGTGTGTTTAAATGTGGTGTAGCCTGTAAAGCACAGACGCAGAACAAGCAAGGGCAAAGAAAAGAGGGAGCGAGGAACTGTTTGAGGAGAGGGAAATCATCACATTCTTGGCTGTGCAGCTTAGAGATGCAGCACCAGGTTCTGCTGCAGGAACCCAAGGCTCCCAGGAGACCTGCAGGGATTGATGATGATTACTGGCAGTTTTTGTGTTCCCGAGAAGGACACAGCACAAGAACTGTGCATTGCCCCAGAGAAGGGCCAGTGGACCACCCCAGCCCCCAAAGCACTGCAGAGCATCTTCATCTGCTGCTGCCTTTGTCAACACCCCCAGCACGGCACAATGGGTGATACAGTTCCACCTGCTCAGAACAAACAGCCTTTTGCTCTGCATGAGGTCACACACTCACTGGCAGAGGCTTGCAATAAATCTTGGGTAATTAGCTGAGTGATAATTGCTACGCATAAGAGATTCTTAAAAATAAAATCCACATTTACAAAAGTAGATGTTATAGGGAGGTGCTTAAAGTTAAGCATCCTTTAAGAAGGAAATAATCATGGCTTCAGTTTTCCTGCCCATAAAATGGGGATTATATTACATGGCCGTTTTCTAAAGTACTACAGGATGTTAAGATGGGAGAATCTACATTAGGGTGTGATAGTGCTATTTTCAGTCTCTATCCACACAATATTAAGTGCGATTCTTCCAAAACTGTCCCCCATCTACACTGCTCCACAGTCAGATCTGATTTTAAAAGAATGAGTGATCAAGCACACGTTACAGCTGCACCACTGGGTCAGTAAGTGAGAAGTTAAAATAAGAAGTTCATTCAATAAAATATTGATTCTGGAAACAGATTACAGGAAATCATACCATACCACTAACTTAATTTATGAGTATTTATATTGCAGGAATTATACCAATATATCAAACACGATGCCTTCAACCTTAGTTCAAAAGAGAATTTTATCTCTAAGCTTTAACAACAGGGCTGAAAATAATTCAGATTATATGGGCAGCATTTTAGCAGCCCATTTTCATCTTCTTTAAAAGCAACACTCTAATGCATGATGGTTAAGGATCAAGTTGGGATTATGAGGAGAATGTTAAACATATACCAAGTAATACATCTGTTTTGAATAAGAGTTTTTGCATAGAGTTCCAGTTCATTTTTTTCAGTTCTCTGCTGTACGTGTTGTAGCTGCTAAGTGAAACCACGCATCAGATAAATACATCACTTCAGCAACAGATTGCTGATCAATTGTCTGACATGCTCTGAAATACGTGGGTTAAAAATACTTGGGGGCAAAGGCTTTTCTAGCTTGGAAAAAAATCTGTTTTCCGTTGTGCTGTGGTTGGTTCCTGCACCTCTGAGCTCACAGGAGCACTGCCATTGTCCCCAGGCTGGTGCTGGGCTGTGCCCGCGGTGGGAATGCAGGGGTCGTGCCCTGCCCCTTCCCAAGCACTGCTCTCAGGACAGGCGTGCCTGCTGCCCTGCCAGGCTCCGCCCAACAGACACAACCACTGAGATGTTCTGTCCCTCTGCTGTATCTTAAGACTTGGATATTGTTCTGAAGCACCTGATTTTTCAGAAAATTAGTTTAGAAGTTCTGATACTTGGATTATTACATTTTTTTGTCTTTGGTTGGAATGGAAAACTGCAAACTTTCTGTAGCCTACAGTTGGGTCAAAATTACTGTGCTTGACTCACCTATACTTTCATTCCAGTCATGCCAGAACTTCACACTTATAAGATATGGATTTCAAATAGCTACATTATCAAATCTCTTTGATGACTAGTTCCTGATATTCGACCAAAAATAATTCTAATACTTTCATTGAAACAACCATTTATCTCAGGAACCAGAGATTCTTTTAAGTATTGAGTAATTTAAACTCTACTTGATGCCCTCTACTTCTCATACTGCAGAAAACAGTGAACAATCACCTCTCCAGCAGCTTCACTCCACTAACTAACTCCTGTTGTTTTCATTGTCCAGTGACATTTTTTCCATGCTAAAGTGCTTTGGACAATTGATTTTGGTCAAAGAGCATCACAGTCACGTTTCTCTGCCACTGCTGCAACCCATCGAAGCTTTCTTATGTTCATCTCAGGAAGAAAGGGTAATTAAACAAGTCCCCATAGACTAAAGGGTCCTGGAGCTGCTGGCTCCCAGGAACTCAACCATTCCTACATCAACAGGTACCAGAGACAGAAAGCCTAATAAAAACCCCATCACCACCTGTCACTCAGACTGATCCTGGGCTGACCTTTGAATATTTCCTCGCTGGTGTAATTCTCTGTGGTTTGCTGATAACCTAAGGCAGATGCATGTGACGACAGAAGAAATACTTTGAACCTGATATACTGCTGGGTTATGGGTTTGTGCAGTCCTTTTGCTGGGACTGTGAAGCAGGCAGAGAGAGTTCTTGCTGTAGGATCTGCTGAGAACCAGAGGCATTTACTGTCCCGCTAGGGTCTGGCTGAAGACCCAGCTCTTCTCTGCTATCCAGAGCAGTCCTCCTAGGACAGACCCTGCAGCATTTAGCTGAAGGGCAATAAATGTTGGGTGTTTCTAAGCAAAACAAACCTAGTCCCATCAGCAGATGTTCCTGCAGCCAGTGGAAACTGGCATACATAGGAAATGTGGCTTCCAGGGGCGAAAAAAATGGATTTATGGAGTGGGAAGTTTTTGAAGGGGCTCCTGCAGTCAAAAGGGACACCTCCTACCAGACCTGCCAATGACTCTTGCTGTGTTCTCAGACACTTTCCCAGTGTCTTTGTCTCCCCTTTGTTCTCACACCAGGCCCATCTCAACTGCCGCCCTGAGGAGCCTCTGTCTGCAGTCCCAGTCCCTGTGAGTGTCACACAGCAGAGCTCTGCAGCAGGGAAGGGCACTGCCAGAGGGGATTTTGTGCCACTGGAGTTGCACCAGGCTCTGAACCCAACAGGTTAATCTGGCAGCAGCCATTTCCTGGCAGCACAGCTGTGTCCACGCCAGGAACTGTGCTGGCTCAGCTCCAGTGGCCAGGTGGGATTTATGTTTTTTTCAGACCCAGGCTGACATCAGTGTATGAGCAAAAGTTTCTAATGTGGGCCTAAAAGAAACATCTGCGACATCTCTGACCTAAAAAGCTCCGTTACCTCTGCATGTAGCGATAGGATGTCTCATCCCTCAAGTCCAGCTACAAAACCCCTTAATTTGTGTCCTCCACAAAGGAGATGGGGAGACTGGCAGTGCTGATGGATCCCAGGAACACCAGAAATGCATGCTGGTTTTTCCTGTGACAGCAGTGCTCGACTGCTGCACTAACAAGGCTGGTGTGTGAGGGACACGGGATGGTGATGCACACAGAGCAGAACCCACCCCAGCTTTGGAAAGCACAGAAAGAGCACCTGTAGGAACATGGCCATGCCAAGCCTTTTGTTCAAATGGGGTTTAGTTGACTTGTTTAATTACTGTACTCACAGATGTCCTACTTTCTATTCTAGTACAAGGACAGAAAAGTTACACCAAATTAATATGCATTTAGAAATGAGTGAACACATTAAACATTAATGTCAGATTAGCTGTTTCCTTACTGATATTATGTGTCTTTTTGCTATAGGACCTCATTAGCCTTGCTAGACAAAAAAAGCCCTTCTTGTATGAAGCCCCTCAGAACAATAATGTGAGCTGGAGATCTTACACAGTTTGAGAAACAGCTTTGAGCAGGAAACAAAGTGATGTGAAAGGGCTTTTCTTCATGTGCCGTGTGTTAGAAATGACAGTTTATTTTCCTTATGGCTCCGTGTGGGAGCCATACTTCAGTATTTCCTTTTGGAAAGCCACAGTACATCCAGCATACCTCACTCCAGAGAGCCAGATAAAAACATCAGTCAACGAAAAAGGCAAACAGAATAAGCAATTACTAAGTGCCATCCCTATACACATGCCAGGCTCACACCACTTTACCCACCACTGTATGAACTGCTGTCCCCAAGTGCATCCTCCACCACCCTTAAATACTTTTTAGCCTTTTACAGGTATTTTTTCTGATTCACTTGAATTTAAAAACAAAGCAATCTTTACTGAGAGAAATTCTGTACCTCATGTGACAGACACCTTGAACCAGGACCACTCAGACATCCTTAGACTTGTGTCAAATAAAAAAAAACCCACCAGTGCCAATGCAATATTAACACAGGTCATGTTATAAATGTGGAGAATGAAAAAGATCTTGAAACATGGAGTGAAACCTTTTGTATTCAGGCGGTATAATACATGGCTTTGATTACTAAATATGTGCACTAACCTAAGGATGGTTATTTTAAGGGAAATATAATAAATGCACGGGACATGTAGAGCATAAAGTGACATGCCTGTAAAAAGCCTATCTGTAGCATTTCCTGACTTAAAAAAAACCCCAACACTTGAAAACTTGGTTCCTTCATAAAATCTGCAATATGGTACATTAATAATAACTCAGTGTTACGTAAAGCTAAAATCTGCTGCCAAATGTGAAGGGTGCCAAGTTAAAACTGACTTGCAGATAACCATTATCACAGTGGAGAGTTCTTGCTGGATAAGAACTTAGACACCAAAAATGAGTTTTCACAAATCCAAGCAGTCCTTAACTCGTGTAAAATGTGAACATTTTTTTTCAGTAACAAAAATCCTTTGGCTTTATTAATCCAGTGGATGAAGAGCATTCAAGAGCATGACCCCACAGGGCAAACGGTAAGGCATAAGTTGGGATATCTATTTTGGAGTTTCTGTTCCAAAGTCACTAAAGAGGAGATTTTGTCTTTTAGTTCTCCCTCCCTGGGACGCAAGTAAAAGGAGAGGGGAAGGGAGGAATAATGAAAATTACCATCTGCTCCTCTTTATCCAGATATATCACTCTTTCTGTTTACTTTCATAAAAAGCAGCCAGAAATATTTTGCATAAGGCAGTTATGTTAACATGCCATTATTAAAATGTTTGAGTTTGGTTCTGCCTGAGCCAATGTTCAAAACCTCATCCTGGCTACTTAAACCCAAACATCATTTGTGCACCTGGTTTTTTAAATCAGTACCTTTAGTAATGCATTTTGCAAGTCTCTCTTCCTTTATAAAAACCTGCTTTACACAACCTTGCCATGCCCAGAGAAACAGGAAGGGATCAACTACAGGCAGGATGTAAAAACCTAACTGCAGAGACAGGAAGCAGAAACAATATTACCAATCAATAACTAAGAGAATTAACACAGAGCTCAGCTTTTACCAGAAAGCACAGGCTGCAGGTGCTGTAGCCAACATATTCATTGCATGGACAAGCAGATTTCTATCAGCTGGAATGCTTCACTTCCACATGTAATATCAAAAAAATACAGTCAGCATCCGAACTGCCTGGACCAGGTAATGGATCAGACCCTGATCACCTCCCTGTGCTGAGATCAGCCTCCCTCGCTGCACTCAGCATTAATCCCAGCTCATCCAGGTCAGAGGGAGCTGGAACCCACATTGGATACCCCTCCCATTTCAAATATAAACCCAAGAAAATTATATCGATATATTTCAGAGGCTTCTATAACACTCCAAGTCCATTTAACTGATCAAAGAAGGTTAAAGAAATCACAGCAAATAACAAAAAAAGGACCTAGCTGGGAACCTGTTTTTCCAGGGTTGTGGATACCTTATTCATTTAATTATTTTCTTTTCTTTCACTAGTTTCCTGTTTCAGACATTTTAAGAAAAAGCTGTATTTGAGATGTCAAAAAAACCCCAACTCTTCTCAAGAACCGGCAATAGTCTCTCTAGGGGTTATTTTAGGCAATTCTAATTTTACAGTTTCCTCTTTAGGTTGGATAAGGATCTTGCATAGTGTCAGAGATTTGGTATGTGGACACGATCTTGGCCCCCGGACATGAAGTTGTCATAGCTACTCTGGATGCTTTCTAAACATGGCCAAATCCTCCACAGGATCCTTCCTGGGTTTCATGGTCTGCAGGGGGCTTCTCTTTAAAAAACAAGACTGTGTAACACAGTTTTTCAGGTAGAGTTTGTCGTTGTTCTTTTGCAAATACACATTTTTTTTTAAATTACAGAATAGGGAAAGGGTGAGAAAGGGAGGCTAGAGACCAACTAACAGACAGCTCACCATCTGAAAACAGAAGAAAATGGCCCAGTTCTTTCACACAAACTATACAGTATATTCTGGTTTGATCACAGCACAGTAAAACTGGAATAAATTCATTAACACCAGAGAAGCTGAGCTTGGATTATACCAGAACAGCTGAGTGCAAAGCCAGGCCTTTGGTTTTTACATTTTGTTCAGCTGTCCTATAAGTTGAGAAGAATCATAGATCAGCAGCTCATCGTCTCTGGAAATACACGGAAATGAAGTCATTTTCTTTTGGGCCTAAAGGTAGAAGAATGGTTTAATTTCCTTTAGCTTCAAAGCAATAATCCTGGACTGAGGTATGGTCATTCTTCAGAATATGGGATAATAAACCTCATTTTCCAAACTGTATTTTACTCTGCATATTCAGGTTAGTCTATTCTTTGCCATTGTCAATGCAAGAGGCAAGAGAATAAATTGTGAACAGGGATTGTTGATTCCAAAGGTGACTACAGGGAATATTTATAGCAGCAAAGTTAACAGGGGAAATTAGTAAATGGAAAGTGGTTTAGAACAAGCTCTTCAGCAAGAACTATTGCCATAAAATACTGCTATTGAAATAAAAAAAAAAATTAATAGAAAACCAACCCATCTTAGTAGGTTAGGTCTGCTTTGAGTAGGAGGTTGGACCAGATGACCTTCAAAGTCCCTTCCAGTCTAAATCATTCCATGATTCTAAACAAACCTGATTTTTCTTGTAAACGTATTTGTTCAAGAGACTAAAAGAGATTTAAAAATCAAGATTGATTGGATAGGTGCTTACTATAATAGCAAAAATTACAAATAGTCACAAGTAGCAAAAATATTACTTCCTCGGAAATGCAAAAAATAATGGCCTGTCATTTGGTCACTCACGTGAAGTCTGGTCAGAGAAAAATGCAGTGTAGAACGCTTTTAGCAGCTTCCTGAAGCTTTCCCACTGCTGGAACACAACCTTCTGGTGATGTGTATCCCTGCTTCTCTCTCACCTGCAGTCCTCTGGTTGGATTCCAAAAGACCTAGGAAAGGAAGCAATGTTGTTGAATACAAAATTTTATGAACATCATAATGGAAAATGTTTCAATGTATAACTTACAGGAAATTTAGCCTTAATATGGGATATGCATCACTCACAAATAGGGCACTTAATTTTTATTGCCTTGTTGGTTAAGTTCATTATGTCATAACTGCTAGCAACTTTTCATCAAAACAGGAGGCTGTTCTACCACAGTTTTTACATTTTACTCCTCTGGAGTATTTGTAAGCCTTGGCCACTGCACAAGGTGCTATAAAGACACCAGCTATAAAGGCAGTTCCTCCCCGGAAAAGCTATCGTAAGACACTGCCATTGGACACAACACACCCAGGAACAGAAAGAAAAGAGAGACTTGTAGTGGCATTTGGCACAAGCTCAGGTAGGTTGTCACTTGGACAATACTCCCCTGTTGGGAGATCACTGGTGAGACCTGTATGACTCCATAAATGCTGCTCAGTTGTGCCTACCCAGCCAGGCTAACTCCAGGGAAAACAAATAACTAATCCACGAAAATTGTGTTGCCCTCAATATATTCCTGGGTGGGAAGATAGAATGCTGGGCAGGACATCACAGCAACTCAGCACAGAGAGATTCAAATTTGAACCCTGGAGCCCCTGTACATCTGGAGAAGGCAACCTCCCTGACCTTCCCAGAGCATGGTATTTTGGGGGCTTTTTCTGCTGCTGTTCTCTCACTTAATCCTTTTTAAAGTCACTGCCAAGGAGGGAAGAAGATCCAAAGATGAGAACTTAAGAGTTCTCCATGGTCCCACGGGTGGGGACTTGGCTTAGCTGGAGAAGATTGTTTCCTCCTTCAGTGTCCCTCTTCCCCCTTCCTACTCGTGCCTCACTACATCACCCCTTCATACTCTTGGAATATATGACTCAAGCTTAACTGTAACCAAACTCTACACTACACTCCAGAAAGGCTCAGCTAAAAGACCTGATGAGAAAACGCTGCTGAGAAACATCTGGGCTTTGTTTCATGCAACTGAAGCGTTAAAGTTACTGTCCTAAATAGGCTAATGTATAAAAGCTGCAAACACCCAACTGCAGTGTCAGGCTCCCAAACTGTACAAATGTATTTGTCTCTCATATTAGTAAAAGTTATTTGAACAGAAATAGCACATTGTAACAGCCTAACAAGAAGCAGTCTTTCTGATGACGTTTGAGACTTCTTTGCTGCACTGTATGGAAATATTTAAGACTTAAAAGATTTATATTACAAAATAGCATTTTAAGTGGCTCAGTCCTGTTCCCAGTAAAGTGAAAGAGGGTTTTACCATCAGCTTCAATGAAAATGGCAGAAGGGCCAAGATGCCTTTTAACACGATTTTTTTCCCCTGTGTTGTTCCAGGAGTCGAGAAGTCTCTCCAAAGGCCCCCCTACTCCTCCTCCAAAAAGAAAATCAATCAAGTTATCAGGTGTGAGTCAGTGCCATGGCCAGACATGAAGGTCCATTGAGACCCCCTGTGCAGGTGGCAGAGTGGGCTCTGAACATCAGAGATGCCCCAGGCACAGCACGCTGGGCACCGGGATAACCAGGCACTGCCAGGGCTGGGCTGGGAAAGCTGCTGCTGCCCTTTAACACACTTCTCACAATATCCAGCACACTGTCCTATTTGCTCTGAGACTAGAATTCTCACCTTACACGCACACTTGACAGATAAAACTCAACATGAACTAGTAAGTGATGAAATCACATCCTGTAGAGGGATTTGTGTTTGGGTAAACTCTGCAGCCTTTGATGCATTTTCCTTTTTTTTGATTGACAGATGGTAAATTACTGACATAAATGAAGAAACAGTCACAAAAAATTTTAAAATCCGTATTTCCATTTAAATAACACAAGGACAAACACTATTTCTCTTCAACTGAGTTTTTCCACCAGCCCCCAGGATTAAAATGTTTTTCTTTGTTGGTTTTTATGTTTTTTTCCCTCAGATTTCTTAATACATCTTCAGATCATGCATTTTGCATTTCTGTTGATCCTTAAGTGATATGTGAATAGCATAAAAGTTTACAGGAAACATGGAAATGATGCATCCTAATATTTAGTTTATTCTTCCTTCTTCCCTTTCTTATTATTTATCTTTCTTTTTATTCATTTAGTTAGAGTTATAAGATCTGTTGGAAACACACTATGCATATGTCCAGGGCCCACACGGATGAGTTCTTGATCTAGTTTTGGTATAGTTAAATGTGGCACAAATTATGAAGAAAAGATGTTTATGCGCTTCCTGAAAGTTGTATTTAAAAAACTGTCCGAGCATTATTTAAGGTGGTAATACATATTGCACTGGAACAGGACTCACCTGATATCAGTGTTCAGGCCTGCATTGTCTTTTCTTTTTTAATAAGTCAGCAGGGAGTCGTTTCTGACATACCTGTATTGTAGTTTTCAGCTGAGCACATTTCACTGAGTAAGGCAGACGTGTAGGACAAGCAGCTAAATTGGTTCCCAAACATTCAACAGGACTGAGCACCCGAGGAACCAACTGCTCATCAGCATTAGAGAATCCCAGAAACCCAGACTGGTTTGGGTTGGAAGGGTCCTTACGGATCATCCAGTCCCACCCCCTGCCATGGGCAGGGACACCTTCCACTGTCCCAGGTTGCTCCAAGCCCCGTCCAACCTGGCCTTGGACACTTCCAGGGATGGGGAAACCACAGCTTCTCTGGGCAACCTGTGCCAGGGCCTCCCCACCCTCACAGGGAAGAATTGCTTCCTCATATCCAGTCTAACCCTGCTCTCTCTCAGTGTGAATCCATTCCCCCTTGTCCTGTCACTATCTGCTCTGGAAAATAGTCCTTCTATGCTGTTTGAAAACAGACTGCTATAGTAAATAAATAAAGTAATAATAAATATTCACCCACAGATTGCCTGGGTTTTTTCTATGAATAATCAACCTGCATTGCCACTAAAACTGAGTCTCAGAGGGTGAGCCACAGCATTTGCATATGCAGATAAACACAAGAAATGCTTTTGCTGAAGCTGAGGGTTTATAATCCCCAGTTATAGGTAAAGTCTTCCATAATTTCCTGCAGTATTTGCTCTTTGGGTTACCTATTCTTGAAGTATTTTTTGAGTTGTAGCAAACTTGGAGCTGTGTCAGGTTGGATCTCAGGAAAAGGTTCTTCCCCCAGAGGGTGGTTGGCACTGCCCAGGCTCCCCAGGGCAGTGGGCACAGCCCCAAGGCTGCCAGAGCTCCAGGAGGGTTTGGACAACGCTCTCAGGGACAGGGTGGGATTGTTGGGGTGTCTGTGCAGGGCCAGGAGATGGACTTTGATGATCCTGTCAGGCCAGAAAGTGAGTGTATAACAACCAAATCAGGTACAGCCATTGGGGCACAGAAACATGGCAGGCACAAATCTGATGTCCTCCCAACACACTCCTGTCCATCAGTGTAAAAAAGCTCTGACCCTGTAGCACACATTAATCTACGCCCCACATTAGGGTTTGGCCTTGCACCCTTCAGGCCCAGAGCTGAACAGCACAGGTGGGACAGGGAGATGCTCTGGGCTGGTTCACTCACCGCTTTTCCCCTGGCGCTGTGCTTCACTGGGGTCCTGCTTGAAGAGCCCTAAGTGACCCTTTAAGCTTAAACGCAGCCAGACAAACTTTTATCCCTGACAATTACGAGGGAAAACACGGCAATGTCACGCAAACGTGATGCAGTGACTTAATTAGAACCAAGTTAAGAGAGGCCGAGAGAAGCTGTAAATCTCCTCAGAGTGCTGGGGGGCTGTGGTGGGAGTGTCAAGCCCTAGAAGTGCTGGGAAAGGGTAACACAAGAGCAGGGGAAAAACCCTCACAAACCCAAACCGAAACAAACCAACACGCATTTCACAGGGCGGGGGGGAAAACGTTAGAAAAGCTTTCAGAGAGAGCGCCCAAAGAGTTAATTTCCAGCAGCGCTTGAGGCAGCAAAACCTGGGAAGGCTCCCGGCGCCCTCTGGTGCGAGGCGGCAGCAGGAGTGGAAATTTCCTCTGGAAACCAGCTTTGTTACAAAGTTCAGGCAAATAAAATGACTCAAACGTGCCGACAGGACGAGGAGTAACATCCCTCCTCAAGGAGAATTTTGCTCGGGGGGGCAACTTGGTTTGGGGGTGATAGAGAAGGAAGTGGGGAGGTTGCTTCGTATTTTTATTATCATTATTTTGTCTTGATTTTTTCCTCCTTTATTTCCACTCCGAAGTCTCAATTTGGGTTGGCTGCAATATGAAGAAAGGAGCCCTGAAAACCGGGCAGTGAATGAAAACCTCACAGGATCCTTGGAATAATGGTAGCAGCGTGACAAACATCTTTTAAACCCCCCCCCCCCAAAAAATTTAAAAACCCGTGCACGCCTGTTTCCCTCCCGTCTGGAGGAGGAGAAACGTCTTCTTCCTGCACGACTTTAATACTAGAAGGGAAAAGCTGGGGGGAAAAAAAAAAAAAAAAGAGGCATTCTTGACTTCAAGCACTTGTCCCTTGAAATTGGAGGATGCTCCCTAACCCAAATCGACACCCTTATTTCAACTGCCGGGAGAGCGAGGGGTGCTCTCTGCTAGCAGGCTGCGAATCCACTTTTTTCTAACGTCCTTTTTTACATCTTTACAATCATTAACAGCAATAATAGCTACTTTTGAGGAACAAACGCACAAAGCTCACCTATAAACGCAAAGGGGCCGACAGAGCAAAACGGGAGAGCAAACCTCAGGGTCGCTCCTTCGGGTACCTGCTGAGCAAACATACTCTGGTTTTAACCCCTAAAAAAAAAAGGCGGGGGGGGGGAAGAAAGGACGTGCTGACTGGGGACACACACACACAGAGCTTTCCAGCTCATCTCTACCAGCTGTTTTTCCTTCATTCCTAATATCTTCCAGCAAATGCATCTCCCAACCCCTTCCAGGAGACCTGACTTTTTGGCAGGTACCACTTCTTGGCCGCGGGGGCCCCGGCTGCGATGGTCCCGGTCGGGACCTGGGTTGATGTTATGCTGGTATATATGATGTTACCGGGTTTTCAGCCGGCCTTGGGCTGCAGCTCTTCCTCTCGGCACCCTTTCCACGGGGGCAGGAGCCGCTGGGGTTCTCCCTCAGTGGTGGATAAATTTACCCTAGAAACAAAACATAGGTGTGTTTTATTAATTTTTTTTCTTCATGAGGCTTAAAAAAAATACATTTTTGTTTGGTTTTGAGTGTTTGCGTACTTTTTTTCTTTCTAAAAAAAAAAAAAAAGAGGCTTTTTTATTCAAGTGCTTTCACCTCCCGCCCTGCCAACGCTTGAGAAAGTTTGGGGAAATAAGCGGCAAGTCCCTGACGGCTGCTCTCCTTTTTGCATACCAACCAAAACGCGTTTCCTGAGAAAAAAAGAAAATACCAAACTAAACACGCTTTATTTACTGAAAGCCAGCAGGTTTGTGTTGTCAGGATGCGGGCGAGGCTCCGCATCTACTCCGGTTTGTAGGCGCACACGCGTGCGACTCTCGCACCCCAAGCTCCCCATCGAAGTGCTTTCAAAGGGTAAAACGTACTGGTATTTTTTTAATTAAAGGACCCGTTTTGCAGCCAGATATAAGTCGAAGCAAACTGTGGCCGAATTCTTGCAGGAAGGGTCATGCGCGGGCGGATTTGTCCTATTAATAGGACACAGGAAGAGCCGGGAGAGCAAACGCCTGCCCTGAACACAGCGTGGGATGTTATTTGAGGTAACAGACTGAGGGCAGGCACGAAATCAGTACTTTGTGGATGTTCAAACGCGTCGTTATTTCGTGTTAAATAACATTTTAGAAGACGCTCCCCTGGCTTTTCCACTGGAAGGACGCGAGATTATTTGGAAACAGTGGTAGAAATGAGGAGGAAAAAAATTTGCATCCAGACGACAGCTCCCTGTGGAAAGCTAATCAACATTACACATTGTAAACGTTCTACTATCAGGGGCTACTTTGCTGCAATTAGTTTTAAATAATAAACATATACATCCAGGAAATAATTGAGACCACATCGGAGTTTACCTGGAAAAGACTGGAAAGTAACAGAGCCTTCCCGAAACTGTCAGGATCTTCCAGGGAAGCCTGTGGATGCCGAAAAAATGAGAGTCGGCGGCAACAAAATAGGGCAGACCCCCAGCGTCTCCGTGCTTAGGAGGAAACACACGATACGTTTCTAAAAATCCCACTCACCTGATTATTACTTCTGTAGTTAAAATATTGGCTGACACCGTAGATGTTAATCTCAGTAACACGCGGTTACAGACGTACAGAACATTTAAAACAAGACCTCACCAGTTTAAAAGTGAGCATTTTAGGTGAAAAGGCTGCGATAGCTATTAATTTCCCCCAACTAGAAATTAATTTATTTTTTTAATGAGACCTATTTACGACAGAGACTTCCAAAACAAGATTTCAGTATTTTTGCTTGGACTGATCTTCCTATTCACAGGCAGTAAAAAATGCAGAGTTCAGGAGGTGTGGGGTTTGTGGTTGGTTTATTTTAATTTTATTTTATTTTATTTATTTTATTTTATTCTATGTTACTTTATTTTATGGTGGGTTTTTTTCTATTTTATTTTATTCTATTTTATTTCGTGCCTTTACTGTTTTTTTTTTTAATTGCCCACTTTATACCCATGTTTACCACATGAATCCATTAATAAGGATTTCCAGAAGAAAAAAACCCCAAGCCCCTATGGAGGCGACGAGGAGGGCCCGACTGTACTTTAATGAACTGGAAGACAAAACTTCTATTGACGTAGGTGGGAAGCGAATGGGGCCCTCCGCGGATCCCTGCGGGGTGTCCCCTGCCAGGATCCAGGTGTATTTTCCTTCCTCTCCTCAGCCTTGCGGGACGAGCGGACGATGCCGCAGCTCCTCTGCGGCCGCGCCGTCCCGGGGCAGGGCTGCTCCGGCCCCAGCGGCACCCAGCCGCTCCCAGACCTCTCCGGGCTTACGCTGCATTACTAACTATCCCGCAATATTCTGCCTTCATTCACCTTTCAAATAAATTATTTTATTGACGGCCCACTAATTGTTTTAACGACCTGTGTTATTTAATCACCAGTGCTCCGTCAAAGTTTTTACTTATTTGAAAGTTCTTTGCGATTTCCAGTCGCTCTCCACACAATACACGCTATTAAAAGAAAGTGAGAAGGGGCTCTCAAAGAGAAAAACGCAGAATTAGTCCCGATTATTGCAGGACGAGCACCCCACTAAGGCTCGTGGTTTCATTTTTATACAAAGACAAGTATCTTCCCAACCTGCCTAAGCACTCACTATTCCCGTGCATCTCCCTGGAAGGGGCTGGGTGCTGAAGCCTTAGGAGAAAACAGGCCACCTTTCAAGAAAGGCCTAACTACGGATTTACACAGCCTCTCTTTAAGCACCCACATTAACAAGCAATAAGTTCTACGACTTCGTTTCAACCCCACATTCACTGCAACACGCTCCAAGGATGACATAAACAGATGTGAGCACTGCAGAAACAGTGTGCGAAAGTTACAGCCAAAACGGGAAAAAAAAAAAAAAAGGCTCTCCTAACCGCAGAATGCTTCAGGAGGATGTGCGCGCAGCGACAGCCGCGCTCCGGGCAGGACCCTCCGGGAGCACGGCCGGCCCGGCCCCACCCCGGCCCGTGGGATGCTCGGCACCCGGTACCCCAAACCAGGGCGGGGAGCCCAGCCGGCCCCGGCACCCACCAGGCGCTTTTATCCAACCATCGCATGTTCGCTCCGAGGGGGGGCAATAACAAAGCCCCCCGTGCCCAGGACTCGGCCGTGCCGCGTGTGACCCACCCGGAGCTCACGGCACAAACAGCGACCCGGGCAGGGCTGCGGCACCGGGGCCGCACCTTGAATCGGCCACGGCAAGCGTTGAAGAATGCCCTAACCCCGGGACGTTGTGGAGAGCTCAGTGCAGCGAAGAACGAAAATGAAAATGCAACAACAACAACAACTACCGCAGCCCAGGACGGGCACGGCACTGCCGGATCCCGGCGGCGCGGCTGCTGCGCGGATTTCCCACCATGGAGGGAACGGAAGGAATCTCTTTTTGTGTTCCCCCCCCCCGCAATGTCTGTTCTCTTTTCTGCACGAAGCAGCAACTCCGTCCCTCTGCACTAGGCCACGCAGAACCTCCCAAAGCAGTTTAATAAAGGGTAAACCCGGAACTGAGATATTCTGATTGACATTGATTTTATATATAAAAAATATTATATAAAATATATGTATTTATATATATTTTTAATATATTTTAAAAACAAAAACAACTCTACATCTTTCAATATATAGGGAACAAATCAGACCCGAGGGAATGCAAAGTCAGCAACAGGAGCAGCTTTTCTCACCGGGCTCTGTCTTTTTGTCTGGTTTAGACAGTGCTCGGTAAAACGGAACAACCAGAATGATCCCCGGGTGATACTGAGCACGGTGACAAACCGCAGTGATAAAATACGACTGTGCCACTCCTACCTCGGGGTTGTTTTACGGCGGTACATCCCCGGTTATCCCTCTGTCCCGGCCGCGGGGCTGACTGCTGGAATTAAATCGGCCGTCGCACCCGAGTAAAGTTCTCAGTCCCAGGACTGACCTTGCTCTTCACGAACACTAAAAAAAACGCAGAGTTCAGGAGGAGTAGCAATAGGCTCTCGTGTAAAAATCGTGACACGAGGGCAATGCACGTGTTTCTGATTATTATTTTTAAATTAGTGATATTTTTAAATAAAAAACGCAGACTCCAGGAGAAAGAGTCATAAACTCTCATTTCTAAATCGTGACACGGGGCAGTGCATGTATTTTTAAACAACCGGCGGCGCCGTTTTTAAAGGATCGGTATGATTTCAGCAACCTTGTCTTTGAAACATCCTCCGGGACCCCGTGCTCGGTTCCTCGGGAGGGAGAGGGCGGAGCGGGCGCCGTGGGTGCTGGCGTTTGGGGGCGCTTTTGCTGGGATCGGGGCAGTGCCCGAGGAGAGGGGCTGGCACAGGTCCCTGCCCAGGTCCCCGCCCAGGTCCCCGCACAGGTCCGTGCCCAGGTCCCTGCCCAGGTCCCCGCACAGGTCCCTGCCCAGGTCGGTGCCCAGGTCCCTGCCCAGGTCCCCGCACAGGTCCCCGCACAGGTCCCTGCCCAGGTCCCCGCACAGCTCGCAGCAGCCTCGCCATCTCACACGGCGCCGCCGCTGTGCGGGGACGGGGCGGCGCCGGCCGGGCTCGGCCACAGCCATGAGCGGGACAAGCGTTAATGCGGGCGCTGCCAGAGGGGCAGGCACAGCGCTGCTTCCAGAGAGCCCAAAAGTTAACAAAATACATCACAATAAATAGTAAGGGAGGAGAGCCGCGACTCCTTCCAGCCTGTGTTTGCAGGCGGCGCCCTCCGAGCGAACGCGCCGGTCCCCGCCGGCGGAGCGGGGCCCAGGATGAAGACAGGTCTGTGCGCCGGCGGGTCCTGCCCCTCACGGCGCCTCGCCAGCCCGGGCCCCGCGGCCCCTCGGCCGGCACAGCCCGCTCGGCCCGCGGGGGGAGCGCGCAGAAAATGGAGGCGGGCGGGAGCGCAGCGCCGAGCGAGCGGCTCCGCGGCCGAGCGGGGGGCGGGCCGGGCTCCGGGCCAAGGCGGGAGCGATCGAGCTCCCCCTGCCCATGTGCGCTGACCCGGGACGCAGCAGCCACACGCCACCCGGGGCTCCGGGGCACGGCGCGGCCGCTCACCGAGGGCACGGAGTCCCCCGAGCCCCCGGGCACGGCCCGGCCCCGGGCCCTTCCAGAAGGTTCCCCCTCGGCCAGCCCCGCGCGGCGGGCGCAGAGCGCCGCCTGCCGTCCCGCGGCCCTCACGGCGCCGTGGTGGTAAAAAAGGTTAAATTGTGGGCGAAAAGTCACCTGTGGCACCGAACGGTGTCCGCTCCTCCCCGCACACCTGCGCGGCATTCGCGTCAGCATTCTGTGGATTCTTGTTGTTTTGTTGTTGTTTTGTTACGGCCCCAGCGGTGTAGGGCATGAAGTGCTACGTGGCCAAGTGAAATTGACTGTTGAGTGAAACTCAGATGACCGGCACCCAACACAGACTTTTTTCCCCCCCATTCTTTTTCTTTCAAAAGCACGTGCCTGTTTTATCACCGGTTTGTGGTGGTTTGCGGTTCCATTAAACGGCCCCCAATATCAGACTGCGAATACTGAAAATGCAAATCCATCTTGTCTAATCCGGAGTTTAAAATATTCTTGTGATGTCACAAAGTGATGGCTTATAAAATATTTTCATTTAATTAGGAAGCACTAAGAGGATTTCTGCGAGGAAAAAAAAATAAAGACGAGAAAGCTCAGTTTGAATTATTTATGTGCTGTGAACTATCATGATTGCTGCTGAAGCTTTTTAAGTACAAAAATGCAGGCTTTGCTTGCTTTTCATTTTTAGAATCTAATTCTTTAATTATTCAGGCATGCAAATTCCTGTGAATGGGGATTAATTATGCAGGTAATCAAGGTTTTATTCTAAGCTTACTTTTAAAAAGCAAAGATGGGCTGGTAGTATGTACTGTGTTGCTGACACTGTATTTGTGCACTGAAATATTCCTTTAAGGTATGAGAGTAGCTTGGGATTTCATGGAAGTAAAAGGGGTATGGATTAATTCATACCTTGTGTAAGGCGAGGAACACAATCCATGACATAAAGCTCGCTGTCCTGCAAGAGAGCAAGGTGTCCTTCCTCAGGGCTGAGTGCTCATCATCCCTTTCCTTCTCACAGAATCACAGAATGTCCGGAGTGCGAAGGGACCACAAGGATTGTCCAGTCCAACTCCTGGCCCTGCACAGACACCCCAACAATCCCACCCTGTCCCTGAGAGGATCATCCAAACCCTCCTGGAGCTCTGGCAGCCTTGGGGCCGTGCCCACTGCCCTGGGGAGCCTGGTCAGTGGTCAGTGGTCAGTGCCAACCACCCTCTGGGGAAGAACCTTGTCCCGATATCCAGCCTAATTACCCCGACAGAGCTCCAGCTGTTCCCTTGGGTCCTGTCACTGGTCACACAGAGCTGAGGTCAGTGCTGCCCCTTCACTGCCCCTCGTAAGGGTGCTGAAGATCACAATGAGGTCTCCCTAAACCTTATCCATTGTCCAAGGAGAAGAAAATTAGGTTTAGAGACCTGTGGAATGGGCAGCCCGAGTCCTTTGTGGGCCTCGTGACTCTTTCTTCTTCCTCTTTCCCCAGAATTCTCATTCCACTGTAATTGTTTGAGGCGCCCTCTGGACAGCAAGGGGGAGTCCACACCATTAATAAGGCTATTTTATTTCAGACTGACAAAAATGTGGTACAACATCTGTCTCATGCACACAAAGCAACTAACAAAACCTTTTAGCTTCATGCTACCAAAGCAGTTTCCTCAAGCATCCTTCCACAGCCACTCCCTAAAGCAAGAAAACTAAACCCCAATCACTAATCTGCACCAACTACTCTGCTGGCAGATAGCCAAAAGGAGAAACGGACCTCTAACTTCCTTTTTTTTCATTTTACTTTTTCAACTCACTGATGAGCGGTGGTTAAGCAGCACTTGCAGTGTGGTGGCTCTGACAATGTCAGGAGAAAAGGACAGTGAGGGGGGTGCTGGTACAGCAGGGAGAAGGTCTGCACACTTTGTAACCAGTCCCATTCAGTTAGATGAATATTATAATGAAATGAATCATATCGAAAATGCTATGGAAAACATTTATAGCAAATACAAATTCACCACTTACAAATAATAAATAGCCTTCTCAAAGAACAGAAATAGTAATGCAAAGCCCTCTGTAGGTACTGTAGCGTTGGTGCAGCTTTTGGAGAAGCTCTCTGGCTGGGGAACGGAGGGGGCAGGGGGATCAGACACCTCCTCCTCGCCCTTTGGTCACCTGCAGTTTCTCAAAGCACTGTTTCTTCTGCCCCAGGGGTGGAAGCCACTTCCAGCTTTGGGTGGATGGGAGAAGAAAGGCCAAGGAGCTGATCCTCAATTGTACGGAGTGAACAGCAACAGATGGAGAAGTAGGAGACAAATGAATTTTCCCTTTCCTTTCTGGATCTCTCTCTGGATTTAATTATCCAAGGATTTTATAGCTGTCAACTGATGGATGTGCAGTCTACCAGTGCCTGCTGGCTAATCCACTTTGGGGCTGTATTAGATTGGTTGAAAAATGATTGGATTAGAGTAATATTCTGCTGAAACATAAAACAATAGTGGGAGAATGAGGAAGTCTTTGGAAAAAGTATTATTGGTGTCAACAGAGGAAACCGAGTTTGTTTCTAAGAGGCAAATCCGAGTTTCAGTTACATTAGTGCATATCCACAGAAGGAGCTTGTTCTTATGAGATCAAAAATTACATAAAAGAAAAAGGATTGAAGACACAAAAAATTAGACAAAAAATAGGATAGATGGTCTTGTGGTTTGGTAGGAAACCAAAGAGAGGATATTAAATTTGGGTTGTGTGGTCAGTAGCATCTTGTAAACCCAGATGTAGAACATAGAGAGTGGTAAAACAATAACAACTGGAAGAAGAGAAATGGAAAGTTGTAGACCTAACAAAAGAAATGTAAGTGAGCTCCTTGAGGTTTACATAGCTGGAGATTTGTCTTACGCCATGAGAATTCTCACTGTGTGTGAAGCTTTATTTATTGAATCATGCTCAAATTAAAAAAAAAAAAAAAAGAAAACAACCCACCACCAAAAACCCAGAATGGTGCATAAACCTCAGTGCGTTTTGACACTGTGTATCCATTTTCACACTCTTACCTCTGAATAATGGTTTACTGTTAAAGCAGTGATTTGGAGTTGAGTCCTGAGTAAAGCAAGAGGTTCTCTGTATATCTTCAGGTCTAAGGAAGCATGTTTATATGTCTATTTTTTAATATTTCGTGCTTAGTGCAAGAAACACAGTGGGTCTTTTGGCAGGTGTGAAAATTGTTCCTGCACCAACAGTATGCTTTTATTGTCTGGAATTGTTTCCTCTTAGATACATCTGCATCCCAGTGGCACAGCCATCGTGATTGAGTCTGACTCCATCTACTCTTCCATTTTTTCAAAGTAACTGGAAAAGAAAAGTATTTTGTCACGCAAGCTGTTTGCGTGAAATAGGAATAGAATGGGAACATAATAGAATATTTTCAGTTGGACTTACAACAGTCATCTGGTTCAACTGCTGGACCACTTCAGGCCTTACCAAAAGTTAAAGCACATTTGATTTCTGGTGGTTGTATTATTTTACTACATTGTCAGCAGGATGCCTTGACAGACTAACAGTGTATTACACTTAAAATGACTGAGTTGGAGTGAGTTGGTCTGTCACCATCTACAAGGAAGACCATTAGAAAAGCCAGTCTGAAGGAGAGATAACATTCTAATTTCAAAAAGGGAGCTTGGAAATTGTGACAGAAACAGGGTCTTGTTCCAGAAATACTACATTTCCTGTAGGATTACACTCTTGAACCCAGCTTTCATTTTTATTTTCAAAATATAGTTGTTGACTTACAATTCTTAGAGATACTGAAGAAATGCAGTATTTCCTGTGTATTTTTAACACAGTGATTAATTTTACCACAGAGCTGCTCTTTTGTTTGGTTCCAGAATCTGCACAGAACTATGGAATGGGTTGGGTTGAAGGGACCTTTGCAGATCATCAACCCAAGCCCCAGAGCAGACTGCAGATGTCATGCTAGAAAGGCTTAAGGAAGAGGCTCCTGCCCTTTTGGGCCCTTGCTCAGGAAACCTGTGCTTGGTTTGGAAAGAATTTTTTAAGGTCTTTTGTAGTGCATGTAAGACATGTTGGGGCTGCATCCCAAAAACCACCAAGAACCTTCAGAGGTGATGACAGAGTACAGGCAGTCAACACCACTCAAGATTTGAACTCTGGTCTCTACAGACATCTTGAACTGAGTTTAATCAGACACTGGATTCAAGCAAAGAGTTAAATCTGTACAGTAAAGTATGCACTTTTAAACATCACATAAATCGCTCGTAACTGCACAAAATACCGCAGGGTGCATGTGAGCACCCCCACATGGAGCTGAACTGCAGCCAGATAAAATATCCTGCAGCTTTTGCTGATAATACTGATGAAAGAGGGGCTTATTGTAATAGAAAGAAAACGTAGGAGAGATTTGTAGATAAGGACCATTCTAAGTCAGTGACCTGGGGGAGGACATGATGCAAACAACATTATTTGACGAGTCGCTGAAAACTGTAAAGGGAAGAGTGGCAAACCTCTGTAGATGATTTCCAAAGTCTGGCCACTGTAGATACACACATATATAAGTTAATACAGCCAGTGCTGCTGTATCATAGAGCTGCAGTGTGACTACACAGTGAGGTTAGTCAAACCCTGACACATAGAGGCAAAGATTAAAATATCCACATGAAAGAGACAAATATTCTGGAAAACAGATGAAGGGTGAATGAAGGGTAGACTTAGTTGGACACAGCCTTATAAAACTTCTCACTGGACATCACCTTCACCTGAAAACCTCTTTAATGGGACATTTATTTTCGATTTAAGACACCAGAAATGTATCAAACTCTGAAGCAGTAGCCTAATAAATGGACATTTATCTCAGCGCTGGCATTACTGTAGCTTTAATTGAACTGCAGACCCTCCAAGGTAAAAGCAGTAGATGGTCCTTTGTGATGGCTCCTGGAAAAGACAGAGAGCTAAACAAACCAATGTCCTCATGTTTGGGTTGGCAACATTAGTATCATGAGTATTGTGCTTTCAAATGTAACGCCTGGACTCTCTCTCCCCACATCCCATTATTAGATTTACTTTAAAAATCAGGATAATTTTTAAAATAGCAATTCTA